ATTGTCGCCCATTCAATGGGCAGAAAATACTTTCTTTTACACACTGCTGTCCATTGAATGGGCGACCCTTTTATAATAAAAATGATTTTTTTTAAAGTATGATAGTTTGGTATTTAACTTGAAATGCATGGGTATTTGGTATTTTGTACCCAAAAAGAGGGTAAGATAGTGAAAAATTCTCTTCTGTAATATCTCCCTTCTTTTATATATATATATATATATATATATATATATATATATATATATATATATATATATATATATATATATATATATATATATATATATATATATATATATATATATATATATATATATATATATATATATATATATATATATATATATATATATATATATATATATATATATATATATATATATATATATATATATATATATATATATATATATATATATATATATATATATATATATATATATATATATATATATATATATATATATATATATATATATATATATATATATATATATATATATATATATATATATATATATATATATATATATATATATATATATATATATATATATATATATATATATATATATATATATATATATATATATATATATATATATATATATATATATATATATATATATATATATATATATATATATATATATATATATATATATATATATATATATATATATATATATATATATATATATATATATATATATATATATATATATATATATATATATATATATATATATATATATATATATATATATATATATATATATATATATATATATATATATATATATATTTGTTTTATTATAATATTTTTGATTTTTTTATGCTACTATTTTTTTTCTTCCATTTTTATATAAATTGATTTTTGTATATTGAATGAGAAGTTTTTGTATAAATATGATGTGTTTTATTGTTATTTGACATAACATATGAATGATTAAATATAAATTTATGTTGTTCTCTATAAGTGTATGTATGACTTAATAAATATCTTGTAAAAATCGAACCAACCAAACCAACCAAAATCACATTGGTTTGGTTTGATTCAGTTTTATTTTTAGAATTCAACCGAGCCAAACCAAATCACATATTTTTTTCTCTTGCACTTCAGATAACTTTTAGAGTCAAAACTGCTCAAATCGTACCGTGAACACATTTAGGCTTCAATAAAGTATAATTTTAGAGAATTTCTTATCTCACCCCTTGGACTTCTTAGGCACCATGCGCTCTCCCTAAAATACCCCCTGATTCCATAGGTGTATCTCTGGACGCACCTTTTTTCAGCTTTTTTAATTAATTCCGTAGATGCATCTACGAAATATTTCCATATGTGTATTTACGGAAGAAACCCAGAAACAGAATACTCAAAAGACAACATTGCAACGATAAAATCAACATTCATAAAATAAAATCGGTGTTACATTGATGATTTCGACAGAAACTTAAATACTATATTTCAATAGTCTGGTGGACGTTTGCACATCTCTAAGATGTCATTAGTCGTTCTTCAGACCGTTACCTCCAACTCGAGCAGAATTTTCTCTTCGAAACCGAAATATGTTCGCCACACCGCCATAACATCGTCTTAATTCTTGAGCTCAAAATTATTGTAAACAATGTTCCCTTCGTTGTCAACTGAAGGTGAACGATAATCAAGCTTCACAATCTTTTGTTTGTAAGTGTAAGGTAGGCGATATTGGATCTCGTCTATGATATCAGGGAGGGGTGAGATCCATGAGCTTGAACGTCCTCCCTAGTGTTTTGCCGTCGGAAAATGAGACACTTGCGACATACCAACGGATCTTAATTTCAAATAATTGAGAAATTTTTGTATTTATGTGAAAGATAACAAACGAAACCCCAAATTTATAGAAAACCTAGGTGAATATGGACCAACCATTTTCTGTCAAACTTTTTTCGGAAGTGTACCTTCGAAACTTTTCCTAAAACTGCAAAATTAAGAACCTTCCATAGATACATATCTGGAACTTTTCCTGCTACATTGTTAAACCAGAACTCAATATAGAAGCACATCATAATAGACAAATAAAAGGCATAAATGCATAAATAAGGCATAAGAATAAAAATGACTATTTTGCACTTCAAAATTTTTAAAATTAGTCGTCCGATTATACAAGAATTCAAAACGAATCAAAACAAGTGTCGCCAGCTAAATATATTGGTGATACCCCTTTGGACTTTTCTGCATTCGATTCCTTTTCATTGTTGTTCGATCTTTCGAATTCGTGCATATCAGGGAAGGTCATCCATTTTGACACCGGTGTCAGACCACTTAAGCAAGGAACAAGAGATTCATAAACTGCATCAAATTTTTCTTTCTTTTCATATAACCGCGTGTACGATTCTTTTTGCGTCTTCAACTCTTGGATTAGTTGATGATGGACAAGCGCATGACTATCCTCTTTTTCACCAAGCAAAGTCGAAACGGCTCGGTAACCGCAATTACCATCCCCTTCAACATTGACGATACGGTTGGTGTGTTTGTGCATAAAAATCGACATCTCGTCAATGAGTGGAATTTTCGGTGGAATCGGGGTCAAAGGCGGTTTGCTTATGCTAGCTCCTTTCATGACACTTTTTTTTAGATTTAGGAGTCGGTGAGTCGGGATAAAGTTTGTCAACATGCTCACAATAAGAAGGAGATCGTGTAGTCAATTTTTCATTCAGTGTAGGCTTCATTTTCTTTGGAGCATCTTTTGTATTTACCGGTTGAAAAGGAGATTTCACGTCGATTGTTTCGGGATAGGCAATCTTTCTCAATTTTTCTTTGATGTGGAGTTTCATTTTTTCATCGGCCTTTGAGAATCTCTCTTGTATCACTTTTCATCCGGTAAAAATAGAGATATTCGATTTACCTCCTTCCATGCAACCATCATCATCAAAACTAAGTCTTTTCCAATAAGGGCAAACTTCGTCCATTCTTATTGGCTCACCTAGTTTCAAATTTTTAACAATAACATAAGAACACGGAAGACCATAGGTTTTCACAATAGTGCAACCACACTTTGCGCTATCGAAACCTGCAGTTTTAGCTCGTTTGGCCTCGTGAAAAATATAGTTTAACCCCAGCCGAAACATATTGCCAATCAATTGAGAATAAATAATGTTGTCCTTAAATCAATGTTCCAATACTGTTATACTCCAACCAAATGTTTTTTGTATCTCATTATGTTGGTTTTTAATCATGAGATTTACAAAGTCTCAATCTCGACACAAATCCCTCTTGCTATTACCCAACCGAATTTTCAAACTAGCATGGGTCGACTCAACTCTATTGGTGGTTGTATTTTCAAGATGTCGGACATTATCAGTCCATGCATTGACTATCTTCACCTTCACTTGATCAAGAATGGTGCTTTCAACGTATTTCAATAAAGCATGATACTTTTCACACACTTTCCGGAATTGAATGAAGGAATCGACATATAATTATTTTGTTGAATAATTTAGTATATGATTCCATGCATCCATTATTTTTTCAACAATCACACCGTCCTTCACCAATTTTCCACCTTCAGACTCTACTTGCTTCGCCCCCACCGCGGGTTTAATCCAACTTCTCACATTCTTTATCATGTCACTAATACATGTCTTCTCTTCCGGCTTGAGCCGACATACACTAGGATAACCTTGTAACTTTAAGCACAATTCATGGTTATCCAAACCACAAATATCACTAAATTTCCACGTTTTGGTACTCAACATGTAACCACGAATCTTAAAAGGACATTCACATTTTTTACTACCGGTGTCGTCTCTTTTAAATTTTCGTAGAGGAATCTGATATTTCCCGCTTCTTTCGCACAACAAAGTTACAAAAGCGCTTCTTCTTTCCGAACCATTATCCGATCTTCCTATAACCACGCCAAAACTAAGTCTACTTGTAGTCATACGAATCCATGTGAGCATGCTATCACGATCATCGAACTCTTGCTTGTTATTAAAGTCAATACCGACATCTACCGACTTTACGACAACCCCTTGAACATTCAGAGAACATCGTTTATGGAAACTAATTCTTCTGAGATATTATCGGGGTGCACCATACCTATTTGTAAATAATAAGAAAAAAAAACAAAAATTACAAATCTGCTGTAAAAAAAAACAGAATAGACACGTTCCGGAGATGTACATCCGAAAATGTTCATCTTCAACACGCTCCGGAAGCAACGTTACCATTTTTTTCAAAAGTTTGATGATTAATGTGAGCAATGTAGTAGACAAAGTACAATCTTTATTTGAAATTCGATCTTCTCTTACTCCCTTTGATTTGTTGCACGAAAAAGTTGGAGTTTTGGAGTGAAAATGATATTGATAATATATGGTTTTTTAGGTTGGTGAAGGTGAGTGTGAAAGAAGAAAACACAATAATGAGGGGAATGATCATGCAAGTTTCAAATATAGCAGAAACTTCCGGAGTTTTATCTACGGAACAATCTGACGCTTAAACGTTCCGAAGGTACATCTACAAAAGTTTCTCTAGACTGAAGTTTTTTCAGCGTATACCAGTATAAGATGATTTCGTAGATGTAACTCCAGAATAAAATAAATTTTGACAAAAAAAATACGTCCGAATATATAAAACAAGAGACATAAAAAGAAATTTGCTAAATGCCTAAGAATATTAAAGGATGGATTAAAAAATTCTCATAATTTTATTAAAAAAGCATTAAAAAAGAAACGGGCCTTAAAGCCCAATCTCTCCTCTGTAACCTTGAGAAAGAAAGGGTTTTTCTTCAAAACCAGAAGCAGAAACGCAGGAGCCAGTCTCAATTCCTTTCATTGAAAATATTTCAGCCATACGTGAAAGCTTCACTTAGAATTGATTTCAAGCTTCAGAATCACTTTCTCACCACCGTGAAACGCGCGTTAGCCATTGCATCACAAAATCTCATTCATTCCACAAGATTAGGTTTTGCATTATCCCTCAATTTTCACTTCAAATTTTCAATACATACATAGGAATATGGAGGCAAATGCTCATGAAGATCAAGATGAATTTGTTTTGCTTGACTTGGATAGTGTTTATGGCCTAATTGATATTCCCCCAAATGCTAACTATGTTCTTAGGGTAAAATTCCCAATCATCTTCTCATAAAATTCTTTATATTTTTTTAGTCTAATTATCAACTTATTGTTATTACATTATTGTTAATTATAGGGTCTTGATACTTTAAACCCAGTATTGATCATTGAAGACAAATTTAAGCTGGTAAGTTTCTTACTTCAAAATTCCCTGCTCTTTTACAATTTCATGCATTGCTAAATGATTTCATCTGAATCTGTTGGAAGTTATTTAGTTCCAGTGATTTAAGTGTTGTTATGGTTCCGACAGATTGGGGAATACGAAGAGACAATTGGAACATGTATCGCATTTGAAGAACATGGTGAGTTACATTTCATTTCATGGATGCAGATTACTTCTGAAGAAAAGTATTAGGTCTTGGGAATTATGTTATAGATACTTTGATTCATAGGCTATACTTGAGTATTGTTTTCGATATTTCCTAGTAAAGAATTTTCGCAACTTAATAATGCACTTACTTCAATTGCAATGATTTTGTAATCATAGCTTATGTAACTATGGTTCAATTGAGTTGCTCCTCATCCATCCTCGCGGTTGTTAAAGTTTCAAGCAGACTAAAAAATTCGAACACTTGTATTTGTTTCAGTCTAATAGGAACTTCCTCTGCTTCTAATGTTTTTAGCTCTGAACCAAATTGTGAATTAGTCGTGGCTGGAATCATAGCCAACCGTTAATAATTTTCAACAATGATGTGTGTTACATGTTAATAAGTTATTAGTTAGTTATTCATTTGGTATCTATGTAATTGATGCAACTCCTTCATGTAAACATGATTTCTCATTTTTAATACAAATTTTTTATGATCTGTGTATCTTTTCTCTCTTTCATGACCTCTATCAAGTTTTGTGACATGGTATCAGAGTCATAATATTGTAACAATATGGAAGACATGTTTGGAAGCATTGTATCAAATTATTTTTAGTATCATTTGCTTCCTACTTATTAGGACTATTTAAATTATGTTGTTTGATCAATCAGCTTCATTGTGCAGAGGCACCGGTGGTTCATGAAGAGACAGGACCATCTGAAGCAAACCTATTTTATGGAAGAAGACTAATAGATTCAAGTCAACCTCCAACAAAGCAAGTCAAACCTGTATGTCAGCTTCATAAGGTTCTCAAATTTAAATTATCACCCGATTCTGAAATTCAAAGTCGCACTATGGAGGAAGACAATTGAACTTAAAAGCTGATATAATATACAGTTTTTCTTTATTTTGTTGATAAATGTTTTGGTGGTGGGTGGTGACATTTATGTTCTAGGTATACAAATAGTTTTTTTTTCTTTCCAATAGGAGCTATTTTGACTATTTAATGTTGATATTTACTAGGATAAGATAATAGGTAGGGATACTTAAATTAGCCGGTTTGATGGTTTATCTGTAACATTTTTCTGATTTTATGTTTGATCGTGTTCCATTTTTTTATTGTTTCCTTTCACAACAATGCAATCTGTTGTTGCTAAGAACATGATGAAGAGTCTCTTTGTGCCTACAATATGTGTTGAATATCCATTTATTCAATTATGCTCTTTAATACTTTTGTGATGGATGGTTGAGATGGAATAGTATTCTATCTAGGTTTAGAAATTTGATGTTTCAAATTTATTATTAATGTTAAGGGTGTTAATGACTGTTATATTGGCCAGGTTGTTGCTATAGAACCAATTCGGCATCCGATTGTTTATGTCACCTGCAGAGATGGCAGAACTTTCCTTATGACAGTAACATTAATGGGTTATATAGGTGGTGGTTTTTCTAGGCACAAAATTTTCTGGGGTTAGACAAAGTTTCTTCTTATTTTCAAATTAAAATTTAAATCACACATTACTATGATAATACTTGTATTATTGTATTGGAATTGGTTTTGGATAATGATTGTGAATATTGGGAATGGGAAAGAGAAGGAGGGTGGTTTAGGGGATTTGGAAGCTTTTGATTAGGAGGAAGCTGTTGGTTTTCAAAGTATGTCTTACACTTTTTAGGGTTTTCATTAATTCAAGTTCTTATTTGCTTATTAAAAAACCATATTTGATGGGGTCTTGTATGGTAAATTAGTGGGTTTAGAATACTCAAGTTGCAATTTATCATATATATGTGTGTTGTTTTTAGCTTATTTTTGTATGATCGGTAGAATATATAAATGATCAAGTGATACACATGAAAAAGATTAATAATCAATGCTTTAAAAGTTTGAATATTGCTTAACGGAGTGATTTAAGTTTTGTCTTTTGATTTTGATTTGATATGGTTTTTCTGTAAGTGAATGGAGTGAGAATATGTAAGAAAGTTTTGCTTAGGTGTTTTTTAATATGAAAGAAAATTATGGTAGTCTTTCTTCGAATTAGTTTGACATTTGGCTGGTGTATCTAAAGTAGGAAATATCTTATTAGAATCTTATGATAGTTGAGAACACCAAAATTTGGAAACTACTTTTACGTGGGCACCATCGATGACCATCCCAACGAAGAAACAACAAATCTTATGTCAGGGCTCCACTCCTATTGTAGATTTGATGGGGATAATTAGATGCAATTGTTGTGGTTTCAAGCTAAAGTCTAACAATGGAATGATTTTTATGACTGCACATTGTGGTTTCAAGCTAAAGTCTAACAATGGAATGATTTTTATGACTGCACGTTCAAAGGTTTGCAAGAAGTAACCAAATAGTGAAGCAAATAAGAGATTGAAAACAATCTTTTCATCAACAACAAATGTGATTTCTCCTTCAACAATCGAGTTAGTGTTAGGCAAATTTGATAGAGAGAAATGTAGGCGGAAAGTGGTTGATATGATTGTGAAAATTGAACTTCAGTATATGCATGTATATCATAAAGCTTTTCGTTGATGTATGAGTGTGTTACAACCAAAATTTATTTCAATCTCATGAAGCATAATAGCATGTGAGGATTTGTTTATGTGGGATTTTGAAAGGAAAAAATTGAAGAACTTTCTTTCTCAACATTGTCAAAGCGTGTGTCTGACCACATATTGATGTCAAAACATGAGTTATATGTGCATAACAACACATTTTTGTAAACAACAACTAGACATCGCACAAAAAGATTTTGAGCTTTGTTCAAGTCTTAAGCCATTTAGTAAAGGTAATAACAAATACAATTGTAAAATGTTTGGACAATTGGGGGTTGAATAGTGTTTTAAGAGCAACAATTGACAATGCGACATTAAATGATCGTGGGATTGGCAATCTCAAAGGTGGCTAAGGTTGAAGAATAATTTGATTTTGAATGGAGATCATTTTCTTACAAGATGTGCACATGTTATGAATTTACTAGTTAAAGCAGGTGTAAAAAAATTAACATTTCTGTTTCTAGAATCAGGGGTGTTGTCAAGTATGTTAAGTCTTCTCAGGGTCGAGACCATAAGTTTTTTACATGTCTTAGAAGTAGACATATTAAATATAGGGACAATCTCCAATTCGACTGTGATACTCGATGAAATTCAACATACACCATGTTGAAGACTGCTCTACAACTTGAAATGTTAAGCTTGAGATTATTGATACTAAGTATTGTCAAGAACTTGAGAGTGAAAGTGACATTTGTAACACCCTAATCTTCCATGTGTAATTTAAATAGAAAATTAGAGTAATATAAAACAACCAAACCATTATGATGCTACTTTCAATTCAAACAAACTCATGCAATTGGGTATGTAACACACATTAAATTTTTAATAATAATAATAATAATGAACAATTATGAACTCCAATATGATTTTAGCAGCAGAAATATCAAACAATCGGTTATTTTAACTTTTCAAAACGTAATCATGGCATAATGTAAATATAAGAATTATCAAACATAAAATAAATGAACAAATGTTCCATCCCCCTAGTGTTACATATCAAAGCAGACATCAACTCAACGAAAGAATAAAGAAGAACACTCTCTTCTACTCACATCTACGCCTCTACTGTGGATTATCTGCACGATGCCCATGTAAAGACAACATTCAAACAGAAGAGGTAAGAAATCACAATCATATAAAGAAATGCATAATAATATGTAAGCACACCATCAACATATGCATAATCACCCATCTACAATTTAAATTCCACACAATCCACACATCATAATATAACATGTAGACAAATGCATAGAGACCCAACTCAGGGCTCAATGCATGTGGTACCAAATGTGAACTCTCAGGTTCACTCAAAAAGTTGAAATAAAAAAAATATTGTGTGTCGCTCCGATCTCCACCATAGGAACAGAGTCCACCAGAATTCATTACCATCACCATGGGTAACGCTTCACTGATTCTCACCCGAAACCAGCTACTCGCACCCAATCACCACCATAGGATTGAGACTCACCAAACACGGACTACCGTCCAAACACCATGAATGCATGATTTACAAAATACATGCAACAACAACAACACGTACAATGATATTCACCTTAATCATTATACCATACCAAAACTGACCACTGAACATCAAACATATACTCAAGCATTCAACAATAGCATTACAGTAGTATAGCAAGTAATAACACAACATTCACATACAATGCCACATCGCAACATACGCACTGCATACCATCCAACATCGTTACACATCATTTAAAATCATTTACAGGTATTGAAACTATTTTTAATATAAATTTTACCGCATCATCTTTCCAACGCTTCGAGCGGCACCCTAAACGGACACCTGAAACTCAAGTTATAAATTTTAAAAATTGACACATCAGGTGTAACCGGTTACCTCAAAATAGGTAACCGGTTACCACTCGATCAAAAATAGTGGCTAACTCATCTCAGTGTAACCGGTTACACCAAATCTAGTAATCAATTACACCCTTTAAAACTGCCCAATACACGCTACTTTTTGACAGTGTAACCAGTTACACCAAAATCTGTAACCGATTACAACTATGAAAAAAATCACATTTTAGAAAAGTTGTTTCAGGTGTAACCGGTTACACCAAAAGTGGTAACCGATTACCACTTTGACAGAAGCAGTTTTCTGCTATGCCGCAGTACGAAAACCAGTTACGAATCCCTTCCAAAACCCCATATTTTCATAAAAACCAATGTTCAAGTATCACCCTCTAATTCCCTAATAACATATAACATCAGAACACTCGTCAACATACGAATCATCCAACATGCATCATAACATCATCACATTCATCAACACACAATCATCCAACATACATCATAACATCATCACACGCAACACAAGAATTCGTGCATAAAAAGATAATTCAATTAAAGAGAACAAATTCACCTATCCACATACTATCATGCAATACCCTTATACGAAAGGGAAATCCACCCTTACCTGATTATTCCTAGCAATTGCACTTCAACAATGAGATTCTCTTCTTCTCCCTTAATCTATAACTCTCTCTTCTCTTCCGTTTCCTTTTTCCTCAGTTTTCACGTACTGACAGTTTCTCTCTATTCCCTTTCTCTTTTCTTATTTTAGTGTCTTATTTATAAAATAAATATCTTATTCCAACTTAATAAAATAAACATTATTCCCACTTAATTATTTATTTTATCAATCCTAAATCAAATATTTATGTTATTAAATCGTTATAACCATAATAATTAAATAATATTATTACTATTATTTATCCCTTTTGCTCACACACCCTTAACACCTTAAATCTACTCTCTAAAGCCACTATCCTACACCTAAGGGTCCTTCTAACACCCAAAAACCATCAATCAACATGTACAATCACACAATATTATTTAAGAAAAATAAATAAATAAATCGGGGCGTTACATTATTCCTACCACTTTAGATTGGGAGAAAACACTTGAGGCTGCTCAATTTTTGGAAGTCTTTAAGACTTCCACTTTACACATATTAGGTTCAGCATACGTGACAAATAATATGTACTTGAGAGAGGTATTTTCAATTGGCTTGGCTATAAAAGACATGTGGGTTTCTAAAGATTTATATTTACCTCATACAAGAAGTATAACTTTAAAGATGGAGGAGAAATATGATAAGTGCTAAAGCAGTCTTGAGAAATTGAACATGTTGTTAATTTATTGTGTTAGATCCTAAGAAGGAAATGATGTATTCTCGTTGGTTTATCAAAAATAACTTTATCAAACAAGAGGCTGATTTTTTGAAGGATCAAATATTGTTTTCAAATTGATTCTAGTTTACAATCAAACAAGAGACTGATTTCTT